AAATTATTGAGAAAAGGTTTAATTTGTCTTTACTGCATAATTCCATATAAAAGTAATAAACATAAAGAAAAACCCCTGAAACTCGAGCGGTCGTGCATGTGCCAGTGTAAATGCAAGTGTAAGTGCCACGTGTGCCCTGTAACGGTGAGGTAACCCGCTGTGTTCCCGCAGAGCACTGACCTGAGCGAGAGGAGGACGAGGAGGAGGAGCATCGAGCGAAGAGGCGAAGACTTTACATTTTAAGGACGTTACATTTGTCACACGCGGCGCTGTGTGAATATGAATAAATTATGTTATAATTATATTTGTATTTATTTATTTTATTTTATTCTTATTGTTTGTATCAGATGTACTGTAAGTAAAACACTTTTTGCATAACTTCTCTTTGGTTTGGTTTTTTGGACGTCGGTTGCTGTGGAGAACCAAAAATGACATAATTAGAAATAAATAAATACAAAAATAAATGTCTGGAAAATATCAAATTAAATGCTGAATAAAAATATAAATGTGTAAATAAATATGAATGAATAAATTAGTAAAAAAAAAAAAAAAAAAAAAAAATTTTTTTTTAAGGTGAAAAGTAATATGTTTAAAAAATAAATAAATGTACAAATAAAAAAAAAATATATATATATATATATATATATATATTTTTAGGTACAAACAAGCATATTTTAGTTTTTTAATCCCCAGAATGTACGTATTAATGTGTAAAAGCATTTATTTATTTATATTTTTATTTACGATTTAATTTAATACTTTCCAACATTTCTTCTTTTTTTTTTTTTAATCATGTCCTGTTTGGTTCTCCGTATCTGCTGACACTGAATGAGCCCAAAGGAACATGTTGTGTTCTGATGTGGAAACTTCTGCCCCATTCACACACACACCATACACACACTATACACACTATACACACATCATACACACCATACGCACACTATACACACCACACACACACACACATACACACATATACACACACACATACACACTATACACACATCATACACACAACATACACACAATACACACTATACACACACACACACACACACCATACACACTATACACACATCATACACACAACATACACACATTACACACTATACACACATCATACACACTATACACACTATACACACTATACACATACACACTATACACACATCATACACACTATACACACTATACACACACACACCATACACACCATACACACTATACACATACACCATACACTTTATACACACACATTGTACACACTATACACACCACACACACACACACACACACACCATACACACTATACACACCATACACATACACACACACACACAGTATAACTGGAGCAAAAAAAATACTCAAGTAAAAGTAAAAGTATCACATGCATATTCTACTTAAAAAACTAGTATTAAAGAAGCAGTTTTAAAAATGTATTTAAAGAGTTTTCTTTTTTTTTTCAGAAAGTTTTGTACTGAGTTTAGTTCAACAGAAACAGTTGAATTGCTGTTTTTTTTGTTTCACTTTTATTAAATTTGTAAAATATAAAATAAACAACCTACACAAATTTAAATCAATTCAAATAAAGATTACACGATTACTACAACATGTCGAATACTTCAGTTTGTGCTGTTGTTGTAATATTATAATAATATTTATTCTGCATTCTGTTTTTCTCGGAACTTGGGAAAAACCGACCTCCACCTCAAGAGAAAGTGAAATGAAACAGTCAAACAGATCGATGTTCAGAAACACAAACTGTGGCGAGTTCGGGTCGAGTTCGGGACAGACTGAGGCGGGCGGATTTACGTCACTGCACAAATGTCGGCGCGGACGGTCAACAGGGAGAAGAGTCTTTACGTCATTTTGATGTGTTCACTTGTTTTTGTGCGGAGAAAGTGCCTTCTGACTCGGAGTTGACTCGGAACTGACTGGGATTTACCGACTCCAAACATCCAGGAGAACGCCGAGTCAGCACAATCCTCAGAGATAAACGTGAACAGGACGCGGTGACGCTCAGAGTCGCCGGCGCCGGTGCACACACAGCGGCGACACTGACTCACTGTTTACAGCCGCGCTCCTGCTCCTTTAACCCAAAGTCCTGCCGTCGTGTCCTTGGGCAAGACACGTGAAAGTGGAGTGGGTCAGTGGTTCTGTCAGTCTGCCCATTCTGAGCGGTGCCATCATTTCTGTCATACCCACACGTTTGGAGTGAAGTGCGAGCGTGTTCTGTCTGCGCTCTATCTCCAGGGTGGAATGTTGCCATGGTGACACAAACACACACGAGAAAACACGGAGAAAAAACACCTGAAGATCGTCCGGAAAACTCAAAATGGATTTAAAGAACATATTTTAATTTTCCTGTGATCAGTCTGATCGTTCATGTTTCTGTTTACGAGTTTGATTTTCAACAAAAAGGTGAAAATAGAAAAAATATTTTGTTCAAATTATGACTCCACCCACATCGTCTGCTCATTTATTCATCAAACTGAACATTCTTCATATTTATTTGTATTTTTATCTATAAAATTCTTTAGAATTTAACTACGAATCCTGAACATTTTACTTTAAAATCAATGCAGAGATTCGCAGACACAAAACTCATCCAAATCATAATTTTCATTCAAATGTGTCATGTGCAGAGTCAGTTTTGCTTCGATCCAGAGGTGGAAAATTCTGGAGTTGTTTTCACGTCTGTTTAGTGACGACATCAGGAACGACGTTTAAAAAGAGTTTGAGAAAATGTTTGATATTTCATGATCATATTTTTGATAATCATTCTTGCGGATGTTTCATTGTGTTTGAATCAAATATATTTAATCCAAGGTGTGTAAATGTCTTTTTTTAAACGAATGTGCAGCTAAAATGTTCAGTTTAAATGTTTTCATAAAGTGGAGGTGGATGTTATATACGTGTGAAATAAATAAATAACTGTTGGCTGATGCTGATGTTATTTGAGAGTTAAGATCGTTTCACCTGTTGTTGTCCAACTAACAGTTTGTTTTGTTTCATTCACACATTTAACTCACAAACCTGCACATTTAGGCTGAAATCAACATTAAAACATAAAGTGACCAGACGTCTCTATTCACCCGAACAGTCCCAGTTTTGAGCCTGTGTCAGAATCGTGCACGGGTCCATTTTTGGAGACCTGCACCCGCCCGCACCTGCGCAGTCCAGCACCGCACCCGCCCGCACCTGCGCAGTCCAGCACCGCACCCGCCCGCACCTGCGCAGTCCAGCACCGCACCCGCCCGCACCTGCGCAGTCCAGCACCTCACCCGCCCGCACCTGCGCAGTCCAGCACCTCACCCGCCCGCACCTGCGCAGTCCAGCACCACCCGCCCGCACCTGCGCAGTCCAGCACCTCACCTGCCCGCACCTGCGCAGTCCAGCACCGCACCCGCCCGCACCTGCGCAGTCCAGCACCGCACCCGCCCGCACCTGCGCAGTCCAGCACCTCACCCGCCCGCACCTGCGCAGCACAGCACCACACCCGCCCGTTAACCCGTGATTATATCAAAATTACACCTACAGCCGCCTGGACCCCTAAACATTCCACCCGTTACCGGCCGGTGCCCGTGATAAATCACACCAAATGAAAAACATTCTAACTGAAGCTCCATGAACATTGCTGCCGGAAAACTGCCGCTGTCTCTGTGAAGTGACGTTGGCTCTAGTTTAAATATTATCGCCCCCTGTAGGCGACTCAACACTGTGATTATGACAATTTGTACATGATCCTCATGGTGTGTATAATATATAATTGATTCACCTGAACTGCCTGTGTGTAATCACTACACACACACACACACACACACACACACACACACCACACACCCCAACACACACACGCATACGCACGCATGCGCACGCACACACACACCCAACACACACACACATGCACACACACACACACACCCAACACACACACACACACACACCCAAACAGATCCTGCAACAGTAAAGAGAAACATAAACTGACATTTGTCAATTTGCTTAAAAACGACAAAACATAATGTGAAAATGAAATGAAAATGTGACTGTCCTGACTCACGTTAGAGCCGAGTGCAGAACAGTTTTCCATAATTCCGCACTCGTTTCACAATTTTATTATTACAACCTCCACAAACCAGGGACGGAACAGTTATTTATTTTGAAAATCTGGTCACCCTGCTAATACAGGAAGTGCTCCACTGTGTTTTTAAACTCCACTAACACCTTCACTAGAATCATCTGGATCATTTCAGCCTCTGGAATTGCCTGAACTGAACTGAACTGAACTATAAAAGAAAAACTACTACTTCATGACATCACAAGGTGGAACAGAGCGTTTGGAGCTTTAGAGATGTAGACAGAAGAATAAAAAAGATTTACTCAAACATGTGAATGAAACAAACACGACTGCAGCTCTGTTTGTGTGAGGAGAGAACAACATTAGAACATGACTTAAATCTCACAGGAGTCTCGTCTGTGTCATTTAAAACATTTAAACATTATTTTTTCTGTAGAATATTTTGATCTGAAGCGGCTCCAGCACCAGAGCTCAGCCTGTTTTTCACTTTTTGGGTGTTATTTTTCACTCTAACCTCTCACTATCTGTGGGTGAATTCTTTAGTCGGGGTTAACTGTCGTAATGTGACAAAAATGCGCCCAAGTATGCCCCACGTCAGCGCCCGCTCCCGACACATCCATGACACGCCTGCCACACTTCCTCCGATAGAGCGTCGCCGGGTCCCCGCGGCCCCCGCGGGCCCCGCCGCGGCCCCGAGCCCCCCAGCCCCCCCCAAGCCCCCCTGAGCCCCCCAGAGGAAGTCCCAGTGTCACACAAACACACGGTCACACAGACAACACTCTAAAAGGACCCGAGTCCGGCAGGCGTCTTATCAGCCGCAGGTGTCGGGAATGTCAGCGCGCTTCCTGGCATCCGGCGCACGCACGTATAAAAGAGACGTGTGCAACACAGGCCCACAGCAGGACCAGGACTGGACCAAAGAGGACCAGAACTCAACCAGAACCAGAACTCAACCAAAACTCAACCAGGACCAGAGCAGGACCAGACCTGAAGCAGAACTGAAGCAGACCACAACCAGAGCAGGAGCAGACCAGAGCAGCACCACAACTCCAGAACCCCAACAACCAGACCAGAACCAGAACCAGACCAGAACCAGAACCAGAGCAGAACCAGAGCAGAACCAGAGCAGGATCATCATGTACGTGTCGAGTCTGTGTTTGAGCATCCTCCTGATGGCTCAACTCACCAGCTGTTACCCCACGGGCGCCGGGCTCACGGGCGCCGGGCTCACGGGCGCCGGGCTCACGGGCGCCGGGCTCACGGGCGCCGGGCTCACGGGCACGGGGCGGGCATCAGCGCTGGAGCTGCAGGTCAGTTTGTTTCTCACTGCAAAATTTAAAATCTAAACACTTAAATCTGTCGGAAAATAACGTAAAAGTCGTGAAATTATCTGTTAGTCTTAAAATAAAGTGTTGTGTTAAAATCAAGTCAATTTGAACATTTTCTCAGTGTTTATCTGAGTCACTCTGTTCTAGAGTTAATTTAACATTTGTGTAAAAGTTCATGAAGTAAAACTGGACCAAAGTTCCAGTTTAACCCAAACCCAGAGTTATATGAACGTTTAGAGAGTAAACAGATAACACTTTGTAGAGTTATCCTGATTTAACTCAACAACACACAGAGGAGTTTTATTTTTACACTTTATTTGAGTTAATTTAAAATGAAATTATGAACAAAACTGGTTCAAACTGGTTCTACTCTGGTGGGAGGAGCCAAATTAACACTAGAGGAAGTTGAATTAGCTTCAGCCAGATCAGCTCTGGCAAAAAACTCCAACTCTAACTCCCATTTAACTCTCAAACAGTTAAAATTTTTGTTGTTGTTTTAAAATCTTTTGTGTCTGAGGTTTCAACTTTTCAAACTCTGCTTAAAAATGAAGATGAATAAAAAGTGTTGTGAAGATTCTGGTGGAGTCCAAAGTCTCACCTGAGCTCCTCCTCTTCTTCTTCTTCTTCTCCTCTGGCAGGATCTTCTGGACAGGCTGGAGTCCCTGGTGGAGCAGAGGGAGGTGGAGGGTCCGGTGGAGGGTCCGGTGCTCCGGCGTGAGGAGGTGTCTGCACCCCGGGGTGGACAGAGGACAGAGGAGGACGGGGCGGCGGCGGCGGTGGACGAGGATCTGAACGTGGCTCTGATCCGGGAGCTTCTGTCTCCTCAGAACCTGATGTCCGTCCGGAACAACAACAACAACTCCCCCCGGAGTTCGTCCGGATGTTTCGGACGTCGCATGGACCGGATCGGATCCATGAGCTCGCTGGGCTGCAACACCGTGGGCAAAAACAGTCAGTATCAATCAACATGGACTCCTCTCCTCCTCTCTCCTTCTTTATCCTCCTCCTCCTCTCTCCTTCTTTATCCTCCTCCTCTCTCCTTCTTTATCCTCCTCTCTCTTCTTCTCTATCCTCCTCCTCCTCTCTCCATCGCTCTCCTTTTTTTCTCTCTTCCCCTTTCTCCTCCTCTCTTCTCCTCTTCTCTTCTCCTTTGTCCTCCTCTGTCCCCCTTCACTCTCTCTCGTCATCTCTTCTCCTGTCTCCATCTCTCCTCCTTTCCTCTCTCCTCATCTCTCCTTCTCTTCATCTCTCTCCTCATTTTCTTTCTCCCCCTTTCTCCTCTCTCATCCTCTTCTCTCCTTCTCTCTGTTTGTCTCTCCTCCCCTGTCCTCCTCCTCTCATTTTCTCCTTCTCCTGTTTCCTTCTCTCTTCTTCTCTCATCCTCTCTCCATCTCTCTCCTCCTCTCCATCTCTCCTCTTCGCTCCTCCTATCCTTCTCTACTCTTTCCCCCTCTCATTGTCTCTCCTCCTCCCCCTCTCTCTCCTCCTCTTCTCTCCTCCTATCTGTCTCTCTCGTCGTCTTTCCTTCTGTCTTTCTCCCTTCTTCTTCTTCTCCTCTCCTCCTCTTTCCTCTTCTCTACTTCTCGCCCTCTCTTCTTCTCCCCTCTAATCCTCTCTTTTCTTCCCTCCTTCTCTCTTGTTGTCTCATTTTCTTTCTCCTCTCTTTCCCCCTCTCATTGTTTTCTCCTTTTCCCGCTGTCCTTCTCTCATCCCCCTCTCTCCTTGCTTCATTTTTTTCCTCTTTCCTGCTCTCCCCCTCTCTCCTCCTTCCTCCTGTCTTCTCCCCTCTCTCCTCTCATTTTCTCCTCTTCTCTCTCTCTCTCTCTCTTCTCTTCACTCACCTGTTCTTTTTCTTTCTCTCTCTTTTCTCTTGACTCACCTGTTCTTTTTTTTCTCTCTTTTCTGCAGGTCAGAAGTCTGCGTGAAGTCTTACGTCTGGTGTTTGGACCATCCCGACCAAAACTCCTCCTCCTCTTTTTCTTCGTCTTCTTCTTCTTCTTCGTCGTTCATTTTATTTATTTCTTTATTTATTAAACGTTTGTATTTTATCGTTTATTTATTTTTGTTTTTAGTACGTTTACTTTGTGTCTGACGCTTCTGTTCATTAAAGGTTTACATTTGCACTCTGACCTCTGACCTCTGAATTTTACTGTCCAGAAAACGTTCCGCTCCACCCTGTGATGTCACAAAGTGGGAAATTTCAAATGAACGGCTCCTTTTACCTTTAGTTCAGCAGAGAAGTCGAAAAAAAAAGAAATAAAATATCAAATCTCAGCTATAAAAAAAAGGTCATAGAAAACAGTGCCAGTTGTAGGGAGTATTATCTGTTACATAAGGGTGAGTTGTACAGTTGTAGGGAGTATTATCTGTTGTTGTACAGTTGTAGGGAGTATTATCTGTCACATAAGGGTGAGTTGTACAGTTGTAGGGAGTATTATCTGTCACATAAGGGTGAGTTGTACAGTTGTAGGGAGTATTATCTGTGTTGTACAGTTGTAGGGAGTATTATCTGTGACATAAGGGTGAGTTGTACAGTTGTAGGGAGTATTATCTGTCACATAAGGGTGAGTTGTTGTACAGTTGTAGGGAGTATTATCTGTTACATAAGGGTGAGATGTACAGTTATAGGGAGTATTATCTGTCACATAAGGGTGAGTTGTACAGTTGTAGGGAGTATTATCTGTTACATAAGGGTGAGTTGTACAGTTGTAGGGAGTATTATCTGTCACATAAGGGTGAGTTGTTGTACAGTTGTAGGGAGTATTATCTGTCACATAAGGATGAGTTGTACAGTTGTAGGGAGTATTATCTGTCACATAAGGGTGAGTTGTTGTACAGTTGTAGGGAGTATTATCTGTTACATAAGGGTGAGTTGTACAGTTATAGGGAGTATTATCTGTCACATAAGGGTGAGTTGTATAGTTGTAGGGAGTATTATATATCACATAAGGGTGAGTACGGTGTGACCACGTGTTTCATTCCGAAGTCCAGTTTTAAGTTTCTATTTCCGTAGAATCACACGGGTGACGAGCCGTCTACAGAATGTTACACAATGCTACTTTAAATTCCACACACATGAGTTCAGTGCAGGAGCGGATCGACGAGCTGAGCCTCCGGTCCTGACAGCGCTAACAAGGTCCCCACTTTCCACCGTCCTGAAATGTGTATTTGTATTTATTATGTCCCTGTGTGTGTGCGTGTGTGTGCGTGTGTGTGTGTGCGTGTGTGTGTGTGTGTGTGACTGTACACATCCACATGTTGTGTATTATGCCTGTGTGTGTTGACTGTGTGCATCTAAGTGTGTTGACTATGCGCATATGTTCAGTGTGTGTTTGCATGTTCATATGTGTGTGTGCGTGTATGTGTTTTCTGTGTGCTTTTATGTGTATTGAGTGTGTGTGTTCAGTATGCATGTGCATGTTCTGTGTGTGTGTATATGTGTTTGTGTGTGCAGTATTTGCGTGTGTGTGTGTGTGTGTGTATGCATTTATGTGTTCAGTGTGTGTATATGTGTTGTGTACGTGTGTCTGTGTGTATACGTGTTGTGTGTTTGTGTGTACGTGTTGCAGGGTCAGGTGTATACGTGTGTGTGTAGTGTTCTGTGTATACGTGTTGTGTACATGTTGTGTTTTTGTATATGTGTTGTGTGTAGGTGTGCGTGTTGTGCGCTCCAGGGTCATGTGTATAGGTGTTGTGTGTGTATGTGTTGTGTGTTTGTGTATCTGTGTTGCAGGGTCATGTATATACATGTTGTGTGTTGTGTGTTTGTGTACATGTTGTGTGCTGTGTATCTGTGTTGTGTGCGTGTATACGTGTTGTGTTGTGTGTAGGTGTGTGTGTTGTGTGTATGTGTTGTGTGTATGTGTTGTGTGTGTGTGTACGTGTTGTGTGTGCGCGTTGTGTGTTATGTGTATACGTGTTGTGTGTTTGTGTATCTGTGTTGCAGAGTCATGTGTATACGTGTCGTGTGTTGTGTATCGGTGTTGTGTGTTGTGTATCGGTGTTGTGTGTTTGTGTATCGGTGTTGTGTGTTTGTGTATCGGTGTTGTGTGTTGTGTATCGGTGTTGTGTGTTGTGTATCGTGTTGTGTGTTTGTGTATCGTGTTGTGTGTTGTGTATCGTGTTGTGTGTTGTGTATCGTGTTGTGTGTTGTGTATCGGTGTTGTGTGTTGTGTGTGTTGTGTGTGTGTGTTTGTGTGTGTTGTGTATTGTTGTGTGTTGTGTATCGTGTTGTGTGTTGTGTATCGGTGTTGTGTGTTTGTGTGTGTTGTGTGTGTGTGTGTGTGTGTGTTGTGTGTGTTGTGTATCGTGTTGTGTGTTGTGTATCGTGTTGTGTGTTTGTGTATCGGTGTGTGTGTGTGTGTATCGTGTTGTGTGTGTGTATGTTGTGTGTTTGTGTGTGTTGTGTTGTGTGTGTTTGTGTGTGTGTGTGTATCGTGTTGTGTGTTGTGTATGTGTGTGTGTATGTTGTGTTGTGTGTTGTGTGTGTGTTGTTGTGTATGTGTGTGTTCGGTGTTGTGTGTTGTGTATGTGTGTGTGTGTGTGTTGTGTATGTGTTGTGTGTGTGTTGTGTTGTGTGTTGTGTGTTGTGTGTGTTGTGTTCGGTGTTGTGTGTTATGTGTTGTGTGTGTTGTTGTGTATCGTGTGTTGTGTGTGTGTGTGTTGTGTGTTGTGTATGGTGTTGTGTGTTGTGTTGTGTGTTGTGTGTTGTGTATGTTGTTGTGTGTGTGTATCGGTGTTGTGTGTTGTGTATCGTGTGTTGTGTGTTGTGTGTGTTGTGTATGTGTTGTGTGTTTGTGTATCGTGTTGTGTGTTGTGTGTGTGTGTGTGTGTGTTGTGTGTGTTGTGTGTGTGTATCGGTGTTGTGTGTTGTGTGTTTTGTGTGTGTTGTGTGTGTGTGTGTGTGTATCGTGTTGTTGTGTGTTGTGTGTGTGTGTGTGTTGTGTATGGTGTTGTGTGTTTGTGTATCGGTGTTGTGTGTGTGTGTGTGTGTTGTGTATGGTGTTGTGTGTTTGTGTGTCGTGTTGTGTGTTGTGTATCGTGTTGTGTGTTGTGTGTTTGTGTGTTGTGTATCGTGTTGTGTGTTGTGTATCGTGTGTTGTGTGTTTGTGTGTTTGTGTGTGTGTTGTGTTGTGTGTTGTGTGTTGTGTATCGTGTTGTGTGTTTGTGTGTTTGTGTGTGTTGTGTGTGTTGTGTGTGTTGTGTGTTGTGTGTGTGTGTGTTGTGTATGGTGTTTGTGTGTTGTGTATCGTGTTGTGTGTTGTGTTGTGTGTTGTGTGTTGTGTAGTGTTGTGTGTTGTGTATCGGTGTGTGTGTTGTGTATCGGTGTGTGTGTGTTGTGTGTGTGTGTGTGTGTTGTGTGTTGTGTTGGTGTTGTGTGTTGTGTGTGTGTTGTGTATCGGTGTTGTGTTTGTGTATCGTGTTGTTGTTGTGTGTGTGTGTGTGTGTTGTGTGTTGTGTTGTTGTATCGGTGTTGTGTGTGTTGTTGTGTTATTGTGTGTGTGTGTGTATGTGTGTGTGTGTGTGTGTTGTGTTGTGTGTGTGTATCGGTGTTGTGTGTGTTGTGTGTTGTGTGTGTTGTGTGTTTGTGTGTGTGTGTTGTGTTGTGTGTGTGTTGTGTATCGGTGTTGTGTGTGTGTTGTGTGTTGTGTATCGTGTTGTGTGTGTGTATCGTGTTGTGTGTTGTGTATCGTGTTGTGTGTGTTTGTGTGTTGTGTTGTGTGTTGGTGTTGTTGTGTGTGTGTTGTGTATGGTGTATGTGTTCGGTGTTGTGTGTTGTGTATCGGTGTTGTGTATCGTGTTGTGTGTTGTGTATGGTGTGTGTGTGTTGTGTTGTGTGTGTTGTTGTGTGTTGTGTGTGTGTGTGTTGTGTGTGTGTGTGTGTTGTGTTGTGTGTGTGCGCTCTAGGGTCATGTGGGGCCCTGACACTCGTCTCTGACACTCTCTGTGTGTCTCTCTGGACTCTGTTATCTGCTGCTGTCACGTCGCTCTCCAGGCCCCTGATAGGGCGGTGGCGGACGCGGTGGCGGGCGCGGTGGCGGGAGCGGTGGCGGGCGCGGTGGCGGGCGCTGGGATATAAAGGGCCCCGGAGCGCGGGCCCCGGAGGACACCATGAGGACCGTGTGCCTGTGGGCTCTGCTGCTGCCTCTGCTCTGCCAGCTGTACCCAGGGGCCCGGGCGCACAGCCTGGCACGAGCCGCCGCCGCCACAGACCTGGACCAGCTCAAGGTAAGAACTCCACCCACGGCGAGGGCAAGTGTGTGGGCGAGGGCGAGTGTGGATGATGGTGAGTGTGGGCGAGGACGAGGCGAGGACGAGGGCGAGGACGAGGGCGAGGACGAGGGCGAGGACGAGGCGAGGCGAGGGCGAGGACGAGGCGAGTGTGGGCGAGGGCGAGGACAAGGATGACAGAGACAGTCAGGGCAAGGGGCACGGTGAGGGCGACGGGAGGTTGGAGGTTGGATTCTTCAGCTGCTCTGTTGTCTGGTTGTGTCCTTGGGCAAGACAAAAAAAAAAAAGCCAAGGCAGAAGAAAACTCAAGTCCATTTCAGACTGAGTAAAATGATCTCCCGGGGTCAGCTCTATGTTCCCTTATTTTTAAGATTTTTCTGATTTCTTAGATTTTTCACAAAATTAAACTCTAAATCAAGTCATTTTTATTTTTATGCCACATTTAAAGGGATGATTCTGAGTCATTTCAACCTCATGACCTCTACGTAACATTGTGTAGTCTGTGCTGCTGGAGAAAAGGTCGGGTGTAATTCACGACCAAATTGGGAGAAATGGGGATAAAATCTGATGCAAGTTTATGATAAAGGAAATGTGGAAACATGGGGTCTAATTTTGGAAAGAAAAAAAAAAAAACTAGAGCTGAGGGAACATAGACACGCTCCTGATCTGCCAACGGAACAAGACTCGTCAAGTTGTTCATAATCTTCTTGATTCTGTTTGGAGCTTTTTCTCTGGGACCTGGAACTTTAGAGTCGTCCTCAGTTTTGTCTCTGACTGTTCAAAGTGCTGCTGGAACTCAGAGTTTCCTCAGAGTTTCCTCAGATTTTACATGGATAAACTTTTGTTGTGGGCAGAAGTGGAGCAGCCAGAAACTGTTACTCAAGTAGAAGTACAAAGTAGTGATCTAAGAAATGAATACTCGAGTAAATTAAAGAGGAAGAGTCTTGATGAAACATCAGATTTATAATTTGAAGTGAAGGTGACAAAATATTAAATAAGTCACAAAATCTGGTCTTTTCAAAGGACAGTGTGTGTGTTTGTGTGTGTTTGTGTGTGTGTGTGTGTTGTGTGTGTGTGTGTGTGTGTGTTTGTGTGTATGTATGTATGTGTGTGTTTGTGTGTGTGTGTGTTTGTGTGTGCACATGTGCATATGTGCGTGAGTGTGTGTGTGTGTGTGTGTTTGTGTGTGCACATGTGCATATGTGCGTGAGTGTGTGTGTGTGTGTGTCTTTATATGGAGCTGTAGGAGACTGTGAGAGACTCTGAGCAGAAGAGAAGAGGAGTTTGTGGTTGTTGTTGTTTCCTTGAGCAAGACACTTGGTTCATGTTGCGTTTGTATGAGTGTGTTTGTGTCAGTGGGGAGGACAGACAGGGCTGGAGTTGTACAGTCTGCCCCAGGGCAGCTGTGGCTACAATAGCAGTTTACACTACAGAGTGTGGAGAGAATCAAAAATGCTCTGTAAAGAGTCTTTGAGCGTCTAGAAAATAATCCTGGTGGATGTAAAACTAAAGCTGCTGTGTTCACAAATATAAGTCACAAACAGAGATGAGGTCACTTACTCTTTATGTACACTGTATTTACACTATATTTAAATTATATTTACACTGTATTTACACTATATTTAAATTATATTTACATTATATATATTTACACTATATTTAAATTATATTTACAGTATATTTACACTATATTTAAATTATATTTACACTGTATTTAAATCTGTTGCTAGAGTGTCGTCATGTCTGTTTCAAACGTCACTGTGTTCCACAGGAAAATATTAATAACAGCTGCGGGCAGTTAAAATAAATATTGTTTAAATGTTGTAGAACAGAGTTCAGGGGTTTAGTTGCTGATTGAAATGATCAGATTCAACATTTGTGATTTTACCCAATTTGTATTTTACCATGAAATATCCAAAATGTAAACTCACAAATGTTGAACCTGCTATTTTTTATTATTGACTAAAGTGAGTGTGTGAAGAGTGCGGAGTGTGTGAAGAGTGCGGAGCGTGTGAAGAGTGCGGAGCGTGTGAAGAGTGCGGAGCGGAGCGTGTGAAGAGTGCGGAGCGAAGAGTGCGTGTGAAGAGTGCGGAGCGTGTGAAGAGTGCGGAGCGTGTGAAGAGTGCGGTGTGAAGAGTGTGTGAAGAGTGTGCAGAGTGTGTGAAGAGTGCGGAGTGTGTGCTGTAAACGAGTGTTAAAATGTGTTAGAACTTCTCTGACCGTCCCGTGTTTCTTCAGTCGGTGCTTCAGCGCCTGGAGGCGAGTCTGTCTGCGGCGCCCGACGAGGAGGCGGAGCCTGGGGACTACGCGCCGGAGCCCGGGAGGGGGGCGGGGTTCAGGGGGTCGGAGGAGGCGGAGCCCGGGAGCGTGAGGGGGGCGGGGTCTGAGGAGCCCAGTCCGAGGAGTCAGCTGCTGGACCTGCTCCTCAGCGCTCGCCGCTCCTCGTCCGGCTGCTTCGGCGCTCGGATGGATCGGATCGGAAACGCCAGCGGCCTGGGCTGCGGCAGAGGTCAGAGGTCACACTAGAGCAGAGACTGTAAATACAAATGAACACAGTTAAAACGGTGCCGCGTTCCAAACAGGAAGTGAACATGGGGGCACTTCTGGCTCCATCGATTCTGGCTCTAATTCACTTTATATTGACAAAGCTCCTCTGTTTGTAGCTGCTGCTGTGAGAATCGTCATTTTGGTCTTAAATGTTTGTATTAACTCACGACACATGATCTGGAATTTTTCAGATTTCCAAATATGGACCTGGCTCCAGATTGGCTCCTGTAACCGTGGCAATGGGAGTTTCATTTGACTGAACCTGAACGCTGTGGAGACGTCACACTCACTTATACACTTTTTTATACAGACTATGGTTAATATGAACATTTAAGAACAAAATGCCAAGGCTCACTGCACCAAGTAAAGAAAGAGGAGCCACAATATTCCAATGGAAGTCACTGGAGCCAGAGTCAGAAGGAGCCAGAAGAGCCGCTTGGAGCACTTCCTGTTTGGAACGCGATGTCCACTCATATATACAATCTGTATTAACCCACTCGACATGGTCCTGGGGTTTTTATTTTGTTATTTTGTCCCTAAATCAAGATCGGGAAGGGGCGTTACCTTCAACAACCTTGCTCCTGATTGGCTTTTGGTTGCTATGATACTCATAGTCGGAATTCATTCCTATAACTGGAGCCTCGATGAGATTCATTTGCCTAGAGCCGAACTCTGTGGTGACGTCACATTCACTTAGTCCACTTCTGTATACAGTCTGTGCAGCAGTTACACACAGTTACACACAGTTACACACAGTTACACACAGTTACACAACTATGGACATGCTGTTTTATGAAGGCGATCCTCTTATTATTATATTTAAGTAAAAACCTTCCTGAAGTGCTGAGTTGTATGTTGTTGTTGTTGTTGTTGTTGTTGTTGTGAGGAGGCACTGACTCTGCTCTGTGTGTGTTTGTGTGTTTCAGGTTAGAGCGCCCCCTCCTGGACGCCCCCCGCCCCTCGCCCTCTGCCTCTGGACCTGTTCTTCTGTTCCCTCCGTTTGTCAGCGTCTCTGTGTGTTTTTTGTCCCGTGTTTGTTTTATAACGTTTCTTTTACACAAATGAAATAAATAAAGCTCATTTTACAGGTTGGTCTTAAACACGAGCTCCTGGTGTCTCTTCTTCTTCTGCTTCATCAGTGAAAGACAATTTCCACCAGTAAATTTAAAAAAAAAAAGCCTCACAGAAAGTGACTTACTATGACTTTTAAAAGTCATAATTACAAGTTTTAAAGTTATAATTACGAGTTTTAAAGTCGACTCTGCTCTTGTCATGGAAGCTCACGGTCATTTTCCAGGAGAGTTCGTCCTTCAGGAGCTCAGGTCGTCTCCACATGGCTCCATTTCCTCGTTCACAAGGTGGTAAAAAGACAAAGAGACAGATCCACACAAATCCCACATGAACGATGATTATGAGTTTCAAACTTATAATTATGACATTTAAACTCATAATTATGACTTTCTGTTAAGCTTTTATTTTTTATTTACTGGCTGAAATGGGCTTCCGTACATTATGGATAATTAGTTTCATCTGATTTAGAATTTTAATTAGCTGTGGAATTTCTCACTTTTAATTATTATTCTGAATTTTCTTTGCTGAAATTTTAAGTGCACATTTTCAAAGTGTTTAAAATTCAACATATAAAAAAAACTTACATTTTAATATGCAGTGCAAATATTTTTAAGTCCTCAAATTCAACAGTTAAAATTCAAAAAGTGAAATTGGCAGCAGATGGAGACAAAATGCACACGTTAGCAAACACAACCAAACTAAGATTTAAGATCGTCTGAAAACTACAAAATACAAAATGTCTTTAAAGAGCACATTTTCATTTTCCTGTCATCAGTGTGAGTGTTCACGGTCGTGTTCAGGAGTTTGATTTAACAGTAAAAGATGAAAGTGACTCACTGAAAAACTGTTGGCTAACGCTAACGCTAACGCTAACGCTAACGCTAACGCTAACGCTAACGCTAACGCTAGCTCACGACTGTAATGTGATTTTAGAGGAAATTGTTTAACAGTTCAGATCAAATCACCTGTTATGGTTCCAAATATCAATTCTTTCTGGTCAGAAAAAAAACCATAAGATAAAGTGTAACTTGACATCTTCTAACAGAACAATGCCTCGTGTGACCACATTTCTGTCTGTGAAAACCCGGACTCCTGACCGGGGGTTGGACCTCGACACTGAGCTCCTCTCACCTCAACCTGTGCACATGGACTCACAACTTGTACCGACCGGGATGGAAAACGGAGAATTTCTTGTACAAGTCATTGTTAAATGTGCATTTATGCTTCGGTATGTTTCAGACTGACCGACTACGAGAGACGCTCAGTTTAATGTCCCCAGTGAAAGATCATGAAAACCCGGACATTTCCATCACTTTAAACCCTGACGCTCGAGCGGGAAAGAAAAAATGTTTTCTTCGGGTCAATGTGACCCTGAGGAGAGCGTGAGGGTTAAAAAAAACAAAAAAAAAAACGGATGCCCAGGACAGGATGCGAGCAGTGCCTACAGTTCGCTTTATACCCCCAGGAAATTTGTATTGTTTTAAAGTTAAATATTATAGGCCCATAGAAAGTTGCGATGTCTTCTGAAACCCGCCCATAGCACAAGGAGACCAGACGTCCCCTGTGTCCCCTGTCCCAGCAGATTTATACAAAACCACTGATTTATCCCAGTTTATACAAGAAATGTCTCAGGTGTTTCTATTTCTGACCAATCTGATCCTGCAACAGTAAAGAGACACATAAACTGTCATTTGTTTTGGTAAAATACAGAAAATCTGCTTAAAAACGACCAAAACACAAAGAAAATGTGACTGTGCTGACTCATGTCTGTCATGAATGGGCCGAGTGCTGAACAATTTTTCTTAATTACACTCGATTCACAATTTTATTATTACCAACCAAAAAAAATCTGGTCACCCTAGTTTTGTTTTTTTTAAATTATGTTTATGTTTTGCATATATATATATATATATATTGTTTTTCTTTGAGTTTAATGTTTAATTTGTTGTGTTAGATTATTATATCACAGAGACTATAAATATAAAATTATAAAATAAAATAAAATAATAAAAGACATTCTTGAATACAAAATTGGTGGGGGCATGGAAACCTGAGCAGCACCAGTGTGAAGAAGGAAGTGAAGAAGAATAAAAAGAGAACTTCTGTGAGTCAGTCCAACCTTTATTTGACCCATATGAACTGCATTTGACCCGAACCCTGTGGTCCAGCTGCTGCCTGTCGAACGTCACAATCAAAATCGTACAAACTCATTCAACTCGGAATTATCACGTTCACAAAATCATCTCATAAAAATAATAAAATATCTGATTCCATTTCAAGAAATCTTCAAATAAAATCTAAAAAAAACCAAAAAAAACAACAAATAAACTCCAGTGGTCCCTGTAGTCCACTCCACTCTGTGTTCCCTTTAAGCTGCACTGTGTAACTTTTTGTTTGAGGGTCCGTCACCTGCTTGTTTCCATGGATACGTTGCTGCTCTGTCTGGAATGTTCCGCAGTGTTACATTAAACAGCTCGACTTTACATTTCTTCAATCACAGGTGGTTTTATCGCTCAAAAACACCTCAAAAAACAGACTTTCTGACTGTGAGCGCGGACACCTCTCCACAGATCTGACCCGGAGCTTTAGATAGAAAGCGTTTGATGGACCCTCTGCCAGAAAAGTTACACAGTGCAGCTTTAAAACTGGCCGGGGTCAGAGGTCAGAGGTCAGGAACACGACTGCATTACAATAAAATAAAATAAATCCGACATAAAAAGCATAAAAACAAAGTGCTGCAGTGACAGACTCATCGCACACGATCAGAAAACACGAACGGACGAAGAAGAAGAGGAAGAGGAAGAGGAGGCATAAACAGAAGAGTAATAAAAGGCCTGTTCATACTTCATACTCAGCTGGCACGAAAATCCAAACATCTGTACAACACGACATGACGATAAAGACGCCAAGTGGAAGAAATTCTTGGAGGGAGATCGACGACAATTTAGGCTCAGACGAAAATCAGTGTAGAAAAATCTGGAGTCATCTCTGTGACAAGAAGGTGGGCCACCAAAAAAAAAAAAAAAAAAAAGTCAGGCTGGAGGACAAAAATAAATTAATTTAAAGGTTTTATGGAGGATTTTTTTTGTTTCAAATTGTCAATGAAAGTTTAAATACCATTACAGAGACGCAGCAGCCTTGTAATTATGATGACCAAAAAAAAAAAAATAATGAAAATCTATCAACTGTGGACGTGTTGAGGCCAAATAAACATCAGCCAATAGAAAATGAGACTCCTTCAATATCTATTGGCTGTTGGGTTGTCAATCAAACTCCCTTCGTTTCTAGTGTAACTGAGTCATCGGCGCGTGAGGATTACGTCGTTTACGCGGTGGTTCTTAGAGGCTTTTTCAAAAACCTCCTCGCATTTTGCACAAAGTTTGTTGCGATGTCGGACGAGAATCCACGACCAGTTCGCCGCAAAACAAAGTCAGTTTTTGAGGTCGATGAAAGAAGAAGAGAAGAAGGAGAAAAGGAGCGAAGACAAACTGAGGTGATTCTTGGAGATTCCTTCCAGCGATGGCGCGACTGAAGCAGACGAAGGACCTAAAAACTGATGCGTCGGTCACTAAAATATTTCTAGACAGGAAACTTCAACAGTAATTCTGAACGAGGCTGTAAACAAACGTGATTTCTAGAGTAAAGTAGATGTTTCTACTGAAGGAGCTGTGGAGGAGGAAGGTGGTGTCATGCATTTGAAAAAAGGACTGTCGCTGTATTTCACTTCCCTTAAAAAAAATCCTCTATACAACCTTTAAAGGTTGTATGGAGGATTTTTTTTATTTTTTTGTTTCAAATTGTCAATGAAAGTTCAAAATACCGTTACAGAGACGCAGCAGCTTTGGAATTATGAAGACCAAAAAAAAAAAAAATCCATCAACTGCGGACAGATAAACATCAGCCAGTAGATAAAGAGGCTGCCTCATTTTCTATTGGCTGTTGGGTTGTCAATCAAACTTCCTACGTTTCTAGTGTAACTGACTCGTCGGCGTGCAGGGATTATTTGGTTTATGCGGTGGTTCTTAGAGGCTTTTTTAAACTGTCGCTTTGTCGCAGTTCGCACAAAGTTTGTTGCGATGTCGGACGAGAATCCACGAGCCAGTTCGCCGCAAAACAAAGTTCGTTTTTGAGGTCGCTGGAAGAAGAAGAGAAGAAGGGGAAAAGGAGCGAAGACAAACTGAGGTGATTCTTGGAGATTCCTTCCAGCGATGGCGCGACTGAAGCAGACGAAGGGTCTAAAAACTGATGCGTCGGTCGCTAAAATATTTCTAGACAGGAAACTTCAACTGTAATTCTGAACGAGGCTGTAAACAAACCTGATTTCTAGAGTAAAGAGGCGGGAGGAGGAGATGTTTCCACTGAGGAGCTGTGGAGGAGGAAGGTGGTGTCACACATGCACAACATTTGAAAAAGGACTGTCGCTGTATTTCTTTTCCCTTAAAAAATCCTCTATTCAACCTTTAAGAAATGAAAGAGAGGGGGGCCGGGGCAGGACACAGTAAGGATGGGGGTGGGGCAGAGTGGGGGTCAGGGACAGTTCGGCAGTAGACCATCTTTAAAGTATCCTAAACAAACTTTGTTCTTGTTCTTATCACCTCAAGAACAAGAACAAAGGTCTTATGTTCTTATGAAGTATAAACAGGCCTTAAGAAGAAGAGTAAGAAGAAGAATCATCATCTGTGGAACATCAGACACGTGAGTAAAACTACAGACCGTCCATCTTCACGTGAGCGAGAGTCTCTGTTATGAACATTTAAACACTTTTAAAACACATTTAAACATGACAGAATGATCACGATGTAGTGATGAAGCAGAAGAGCAGCTCCTCGTTGGTCCCGTCAGGCTCAACGTTCACCTGCGTACGGGACATTTGTGTAGTTTCCCCATCACTGTTTTTACGCAGTTAGAGTTATAGAATAGAAAAACAAAACAAAAACGTATATTTAGATTAATTTAGGTCAAATAACAAAGAAATATAAAAATAAACAATATTAAAACGCCCTGTATCAGTGTCTTGGCCCAGTACAGTTACAAATATATTCTCCAAGCTGCTCTTCAGGTCAAAATACTTTCACTGTTCACTGTCTGCGTCTGATTAGAGACGTATTTTTCGAACTATAAGCTGCACTTTTTTCATGGAATGGGTGAGCCTCTGTCCAGTCTGTATCGCACCGTTACTTCTGCATCACTGAACAATTTAACATTTAAACTTTAAACTTATAAAGACAAAGACTGAGACGACTGAACACAAATGCCCCCAAAAACAAAATCAGATTCTGCAGATTACAAACTGCAAGTCGTGAAATCTGCAGCTGAAAAGGGAAATGGAGCAGCAGAAAGAAAGTTTGGAGTGAGAGAGAAACTTGTGACACCGGGAGGATGAACCATGAAACTCTCCTGAAGTCACTGGACGGACGGACAAAGTCTGGACTTGAGTGACACCGAAACCATCCTGTCGGGATTCAGAAAGACACGAATAATTTTAATAATAGTTTGTTCTGCTCCTGTGCTCTTCCTCTTTGTCTCGTGATGTTGATGCGTCATGTCTCCCAGTTGATTTAAACAGGTTTTTTCTTTGTCTTCCTACTGGTGGAGGCAGGACGACAGCGCAGTTGGATTACAGTTACTTTGTTGAAGTAAATGGATTACATGGCGGGATTTTCCTGTTTTCACATTTGGGGCTATATCCCTTTCTTTTTTTTTTTCCCTGTAATTCCACTCATTGCTGGACACTAAACCAGGTCTAAACCAGGACTAAAACCAGGTCTAAAACAGCATTTAACAGGACTAAACCATGCTCCTCGTCTTTTATCAATAATATTTTTAATTTGGTTCAGTAAAGTATTTTCTTTTAGTAGATAAAACTTCTTATGTGAAGATTTCCTCGTCTTTGTTTCTCTACAGCAAATCAAGTAATCCAAAGTAATCAGATTACATTACTCACTTTAATTTAATGGATTCTGTTACAAACTACATTTTGGGATATGTAATTCTGTAATCTGTAGGGGATTACATTTTAAAAGTAACTTTCCCAACACTGGAAATATGTGACGTTAACAGTCTGTTCTTCTCTCTTCTATTCTTATTATTGATTTGATAAAATGTCTCCCCCACAAAAAGTGCGACTTATGTTTTTACTTTTTCATTATTCTTCGTTTTTTTGGCTCTTGCAACTTATAGTCCGAAAAATACGGTAAGTAGAGTTTTACAATTGAACAACGAAAAGAAAAAGCTGTATATTTTGGTGAGTTTCGGTCAAATAAGACAAAGAAATATAAAAATAAACAACATTAAAATCCCTGTATCAGTGTCTTGGCCCAGTACAGATACAAATAAATTCTCTAAGCAGCTCTTCAGGTCAAAATACGTCCTCTGTTTACCATCTGCGTCTGATTAGAGAGCATTTGTTTATCGTTTTGCTAAATCAGGAAGTGCAATTAGCATGCTAGTGGTTGTTACCTTTCCCTTCGCTCTGGTTTCTGAGAGTCGTCGAGTGAAAAACGCTCGTGAACTCGTCGCTGTGAATCATGAGGATGTTTGAAATGCAAAAGGGACGTGAGGAATAACTTTGATTTTCACATTTTTTAAAAACAGTCGAAATAAAATCTGAATCTAAACACTTGAAACGCTCTTGAAGTCTTCACAAACGTCCATGTCGTTCGGCGGCGGGGCTCCCCGGTCAGTCGTAACGCTCCGTACAGTAGAAGCAGCCTGAGTCTTATTAATGACCTAAAATTAATAAAGAATTATCTGTGCAAAATATAAAAACAGAAAGATTATAAAACGAGAATTAAAACACATTTGGAGGGCACCGGACCACGGACGCGACCACACGCTCCAGACCAGACTCGGTCCCTGTCGCGGGGGAGGAGCGGCAGGTGCGGTGAGGGGGAGGGGGGAGCGGCAGGTGCGGCGAGGGGTGGGTGGGTCGGTCGGGGGTCAAAGGTCAGACGGTGATGGAGTGCTGGCGCAGTTTGGTCCGCAGGAACTCGTGGGTCAGGTTGTGTCTGGTGATGATTCCAACGATCTACAAGAGAAAAAAAAAGAACTTTAGAAACACTCGCTGTTCCTCTCATAAGTGAGTTTGAAAGACTGAGGTGATAAGTGTTTGGGGCCCCTCAAAAATGATGTTCATCCCACAGGCACCAAAATCTGTGTGTCATTCATTCATTCATTTTTCAATATAAAACCAAAAATCAGAAAACGAAAAAACAACTGTTTTCTTCATTATTTGTCTCCAAAACCAAAATGAAAAAAATGGATTACGACCATTTACGTGACTCCCATGACTGCGACGCCGGACTTTTGCACCGCATACAGACTGAACCAG